AAAATCTGCTGTCTTACTCTGCTTAGGCTGCCATAACAAAATATCTCAGGGTGACTTAAGTAACAAAAATTTATTTTCTCACAGTCTTCGGCTGGAAGTCCCAAACTAAGGAACTGCAGGCTTGGTTTCCTCTGAGGCCTCTGACACTGACTTGCAGAATGCTGCCTTCTCTTCACACGTAGCTCGAAGTGCGCATGCCTCCGCAGTCTCTCCCTACGTGCAGGCACTGTCTACTTATGAGGACAGCAGTCACATGGGACTCAGACCCAACATAACAGCCTCATTCTTGACTATTTAAAGGTCTTCTCTCCATCACTTTCTAATAAACTGTGAGGTGAGGGTTTCCACTTGCAAATTTGGGTAAGAAGATTCAGTCCAAAACATCTTCCCCAAAGAGAATGTCCTCTGATTTCAAGGACCACGACGCATTTCATGTTTCTCCTGGGGGCAGCGCTCCTCAAGTCCTTGTCCTCAGCTGCCATCTGCTCACTCTCAGGACCTAGTTCACCACCCGCAGGGGATTCCCCTTGCCTGCTCTCTGCTGGATGCCCCAGGGCTTCCTTTTTATTTCATTCCCAGGTTTTGCTAAAAAGCTTCTCATAGCAGCTTTCTGAGAAATGACTCTTGAAACCTTGATAACCAGGTAACTTCCTTTCCGTCTTCCTTCTGGACTGAAATTTCGGCAGGAGACAGAAATGTAAGTGGACACATTTTCCTGCAGGTCTGTGAAAGCACTGTACCTACTATCTCTGGCTTCTGGCTCTGATAGACATTCTGATTCTCCAGGCTTAGCTCTGAGAGTTTTCTTCTGTGTCTGCTGTGATTCAGATTTCTCATTTTCATCTTCCTGGTTTTTCTCTAATCTCCACTCTGAGCAGCTTGCATGTTGTCTTGTCATTACTCTGTTGGCTCATATCTCTAATAATGTTCTCCTCTACTCTTTCCTGGGTTCTCTTTCTTAAGTTCCTATATAGATATTGCTTCTCCTGACTATTCCTAATGTTCTCACCTTTTAATATTTTTGTTATTTGAGTTATTACTCATTTCATTATTCTTCATTTTTTCACTGCCCTAAGGTTTATTATCTAAGTCATCTGCTGAATTTTTCATTTGTTATCATGTATTGACTTTCCAGGAGATCTTCATGATTCACAGAATGTTCCTCAGTTTGTTTTGACTAGTTATTCTATGGTCTGCTGTTAATTCCTTTATATGTAATCTTCTTGTGTTACTCCAAAGGTAGTTACTAGAAATATATTTTTTAAAATTGATTTCTTCTTCTAGAACTGTATGGTGCTGTTTCCTCTGAGCTTCTCTCATCTGTATGCTTATCATTTGATTTTTTGTTCATTCATTCTTTCTTGTCATGAATGTCGTCAGAATTCTGGTGACACTAGGCTAAAACTTCTATAGGAGTGAAGTACTCAAAGGCTGTTAAATCTGACCAAATGCAGGGAGCTTTCTTGTGTGGGTTTTACTGTAGGGGGACCAACCTGGGATACTGTCCTGGGGAATTTCAGACTTTATACCTTTATTTGCATGCAGACACACACACACACAGTATGCTTTATTTTGATGGACCTTTTTCCCAGAGATAATACCTCCAGGTTGATTTCTGTGGAGATGTAGACATGTCTGTGAAGTTTCTCAGAACCACCGGGAGGAATGTCTAATATTAGGTGAGGTAACTGGAGCTTAATTGCCCTAACATTAGCATGGTGTCTGGCTCAACCCTAATGTCTCTGTAAAGAAGGTACCCCTGAATCAAATTCTCTAAGTAATAAAGCTTTTTCCCTAAAAGATTGGGAAAGCAATAAAAAAGCAGACAGCAATAAATGTTTGGAGGGACTCAGGAAACCGTCTCTTACAGACTTTTAACCGTTGTTCATATATTTAGTCCTACTCATAACCCTACTATCACAAGGCATCTGCTGTCTCTATTTCCTGAGGCTTTTGAGGTTCCGTTGTGAGAAGCAGCCAGCTGCTGCTATGTCTCCTCTCTCAACTTAAATTTTAACTTCCTTCTGGGTTGTATGTCAGTTGCCACTCATCTGTCTGCTTCATAGCTTCCCAAATTCTACTGGTGTTATCTCACCTACCATGGACCAAGGTGCTAATGAGTTCAAGATTTTTTATTCAATTTCCTGTCAATTTAGTAAGAGTGTCAGGAGGAAACAGACTCCTAAATGAATACTAGGAAGTGCACTCTGGAAGACATTACACATTTATGTCTTCATACTGGTACTTCCCTTATTTAACAAAGGTATTACAGATACTCAAAGACTGCAACGATTTTAAAACCATGTTACCACTTGGGGTGAGGCACTAGATCCACAATTACGTAAGTCAAACAATTATGGTAATTCAAGCTTATGCTCCATTCAAAATCATTTCTTTAGTAAATTTACTTGGAGCACCAAGTAACAATTAACTGGGTGCTCAGGTCAACAGAGCAGGATCAAGTCTAGACTAACCTAGCATTGATGAAAACGGTAAGGAGAAATGTATTTTTAAGCATACATATCTCAAAAAGAAGCATTTAGAAATTTTCCAAACATCTGTCTGGTCAGTGTACTACTCTTAGCTTTCTAGTAAGGCATTAGCTAAGTACCACAGACTGGATGACTTAAAAAGCACAGCTGTATTAAGTGTCCCACAGTTCACAGATGGGAAGGCCTGAAATGCAGGCTGCACAGAGTAGGTTTTTGTTAAGAGCTGAGAAGGAAGAGCATGCTCCAGGCCTGCCTCTTAGGCTTACGGGTGATTGTCTTATGTTCACTCCTATTCTCCAGCATCATGTCTGTTTCTAAATGTTCCTTATTAATAAGAACATAGGTCAGACTGGAATGGGGTTTACCTTAATGGCCTATTGTCTCTTGATTATTTGTCAAGACCTTAATTCCAGGCCAGCACCGTGGCGCACTGGGTTAATCCTCTGCCTGCAGCGCCGGCATCCCATATGGGCGCCGGTTCTAGTCCTGATTGCTTCTCTTCCAGTCTAGCTCTCTGCTATTACCTGGGAAAACAGTGGAAAATGGCCCAAGTCCTTGAGCCCCTGTACCCGCGTAAGAGACCCAGAAGAAGCTCCTGGCTCCTGGCTTCAGACTGGTGTAGCTCAGGCCGTTGCAGCCAATAGTAGAGTGAACCATCTGATGGAAGACCCCTCTCTCTCTCTCTTCCCTCTCCCTCTCTAGCTCTCCTCTCTCTGTGTAACTCTGACTTTCAAATAAATAAATAAATCTTTAAATAAAAAAAAAAACCTTAATTCCAAATACATAGACATTTTATGGAATCAGGGGTGAGGACTTCAACTTATGAATTTTGTGGAGACAAAATTTAACCCAGCCGGCGCCGCAGCTCACTAGGCTAATCATCTGCCTGTGGCGCCGGCAGGGATTCTAGTCCCGGTCAGGGTGCCGGATTCTGTCCTGGTTGCCCCTCTTCCAGTCCAGCTCTCTGCTGTGGCCCGGGAAGGCAGTGGAGGATGGCCCAAGTGCTTGGGCCCTGCACCCGCCTGGGAGACCAGGAGGAAGCACCTGGCTCCTGGCTTCGGATACGCACAGTGTGCTGGCTATAGCGGCCATTAGGGGAGTGAACCAACGGAAGGAAGACCTTTCTCTCTGTCTCTCTCTCTCACAGTCTAACTCTGCCGGTCCAAAAAAAAAAAAAAAAAAAAAAAAAAAGAGCCAGCCCCCTCAAATGAAGGATGAGAAAGTTGCTTTAATTTTTTTTTTTTTTTTTTAATGAGTAAGAAGTTGAGGTAAGGCAGAGTGAGGACAGCACAGAGCCTGCTGTACTCAAGACTTAGTTACAAGTTAGTGGAACAGACTATGTGTCTTTAAATGCTCCATAAATGGACAAATCACGTGCCCAGAGCCCTGTGCATATCTGCCTTCTCCCCAGGCACTACAGAAGCCACCAGGCTTTCTCATTTGTGCCTGACCACACAGATGGCTGGAGATGGACTCAGTGACTGAGAAACACCAAAGATAACAGTACTTCAGGTAAAATATGGAGCACTTCTCAAAGTAAAAGAAAAATTAAAATGTTTTTAAAATTCGAAGATATGGTGTGATCATTTATTATACTGTTTAACTTAGTTAAGTGTATAAAACTTTTCTCCTAAGAAACAAATCATAAAGATCCTGTAAGCCAAAACTTACTGATTTGTGTTTCAGAATCACCTTGCGATCTTTTTTTAAAGCATACAAATTCCCAATACCTACCCTGGATATTTTGAATAAAATTTTCACAAATGCATATTTTTTAGAAGCTCTCCGATTTCAACAGTTTGCTCTCACACAGAAACATAAAGTGAAAAATACTGTTTGAGTACTAGTTATAGCATTAAATCTCAATGTACAGCACACTAAGGACAAACTGTTGAAATCTTTACTTAATGTATGCTAAACTGATGTTCTGTATATAAAGAGAAATGAAAATGAATCTTGATGTGAATGGAAGGGGAGAGGGAGTGGGAAAGGGGAGGGTTGCAGGTGGGAGGGACGTTATTGGGGGGAAGCCATTGTAATCCATAAGCTGTACTTTAGAAATTTATATTCATTAAATAAAAGTTTAAAAAAAAAAAAAAAAGAAGCTCTCCGATTGATTCTAATGCAAACTGCCTGATCCATCTGCTTCACTTCAGAGTTAAGGGAACTGAGGACACTTTAAGAAAATTACGTATCAAAGGACATATTTAGTAAAAAAAAAAAAAAAAAAAAGAGGTCCTGTTCAGTTTATATATGACTTCTTTCATTTTGATAAACAGAAAAGTAAAGGATTAGTAGACACTACTTTCAAGAACACATTTGTTGACACAATCAATAATATAACTATCACTATGATAGATAGGGCAAAGATAACTAAGAAGTAGTTGCTTCTTTCAGTTAAATTTGAAAGTCACTATTTATTGCACACAGATTTTTCAAAAAGTCAAATTAACAACAATTTTCTAACATGGTAACAACCACTTACTAAAGCACAATTTAGAAACTTACAGATGATGTCCTGTCCACTTCACAGCGACTACTCAAAATAAAACAGGCCTCAGCATCATCCATCCTAAATGTAGACAGAAAAGAAAAGAATGACATACTGAAGGTCCTGGCTATTGTCAGAAACACAGAATTTCAATGCTTAGACCATGTAGCGTACATAGATGGTGTATACCCTTAATGAAAGTTGAATTTCTTTCTAGTAGATCACGACTGCCTTCAATGTAGCAAAACTGTTGTTGCTGGGTTATCTGTGTCACTCAATAGTTTATGAGAGAAGCAAAAAAGAGACAAGTTGTGTTCTCTTTTATGAGAATGTATATTTTCTTATATAGGCTTGTGTATATTAGGGGACGGTAATGGCCATTATTTTATGACTAATTACACTACAGCTGCAATGTTACTATTAAACCAAGGGATAAGGAACAGAGCTGTTCAATATGCAGGAGTCACACTTTATTGTTTATTTGTATTCTCTGGGGCTGATTCATCATCTTGTTCCAGACCCCCTCCTCTCATGCTAAGATTCTGTATTTCTTAAATTCAGTAATAAAACAGTATGTTTTGGAGCCTGGTACATAATGTTTTAGAAACATAAGAATGTTTATTTTCAAAATGATGAATGATTTATCTTTCTGGTACACCACAAAATAATAAACTTTTCCAAACGTAGCATTTTTTACGGAGAGGAAAGATAAAAGTCCAGGAAATCAGACCAAATCAAACAGTTCTAACGGAATGCTGAGCCACAGTTACTAAAATAATATTGAGTATTGGATAAAATTTTCTAAACATTATTTTCAACAAAGCAATTCAAAACTCATGCAACTGACCTTTCAGACTGGTTTGCAGAATCCTACTCCTTGTTCCTTGCATGGAGAAGTGCTTTGAAAAATGTCATTCATTAACATTAAGTCCAAAATCTTTTATTTGAAGTTAGAATTAGGAATTAACATAAAACGATTATTTTGTCACTCTAACTTTTCTCTTCACCTAGTTTTGTGATATTACCAGCTGGCTACCTCTCTCATCTTCATTCCCTCTCTTACTTGGTTCCTACAAAGGAATTCGGCTTATACATGTGATTCCTTTTGCTAAGGCCTCATTTCAATATTATTAATAATAAATTAGTCATTGAGCTGGCGCTGTGGCATAGCAGGTAAAGCCACCACCTGAAGCACTGGCATCTGGTATGTGCACCGGTTCAAGTCCTGGCTGCTCCACTCACTATCCTGCACTCTGCTATGGCCTGGGAAAGCAACAGAAGATGGCTGAAATCCTTGGGCCTTCCCATCTGTGTGGGAGACCCTATAGAAGATCCTGGCTCCTGGTTTCGGATTGGCCCAGCTCCAGCCATTCCAGCCATTTGGGAAGAGAAACAGTGGATGGAAGACCTCTCTCTCTTTCTGCCTCTCCTCCTCTCTCTGTGTAACTCTGACTTTCAAATATAGAAGTTAGAGTTACAATATGACAAATATGACAAATATGACAGAGTTACAATATGACAAATATGAAATAACAAATTAGTCATGTTAATCCTAAATAGTATCTAACTTAGATACTAATAGGCAATACCAATAACTCACATTAATTTATGCAACAGAAAAATGCCTGAATTTATCACACAACTTCATATTAATTATAGCATAGGCATTATGCTTGCTTACTGCATGAAAAACTTAACTCTTATACAATAAATTAAGTATATCAATTATCTACACAGGTAAATACAATGACTCGGGGTTATCTTAGCATCTTAACATCTCTTCCCCTGAGTCTAAAGCTACTAAATAATTAGCTTAGACAGCAAATAACGAACACCATGGTTTTCTTGAAGTCCTGGTAAAATCTGATCACATATAGAGTGTTTTAATATACAATGATTTCATATAGAATATATATCAGTACAAAAATACTAATATGCTCTCAATGAAACTCAGTTTTCCAGTTATTTACCATTCATTAAATCCTGATAGCTTCCAGTGACTTTTTGTTTCATAGACCAAATCATTGGGAAAAACGCAGTTAAGTCGACTTTATTAAACATAATTCAAAGAATAAAGGCGGAGCCCATGACTAGCCTTCTAGTCTTTACTTGCAGAATAAACAGTAAAAAAGGATCAGGTAGTGTATTGCACCAAGTGTTTTACTTTCCTTTTATTCTTTTCCATCACTTCCCAAACACACACACACACACACACACACGCTCCATACACAAACATACCCACACACTCATTCTGTTTCACACATACAAACATATACAAACATACCCACAGTCTCTCACACATACACCTACACACACAAACTCTAACATACCCTGATATACACTCACACTTTCTCACAGCTCACACACACACACACACACACTCATGCAAATACTCTTGCACACACTCTCACACAAGCTCACTCTCTTTCACACACACACAGACACACACAATCTCTCTCATACACAAACCTGTACACTCAGGCCATTCAAAAAATGTAAAAATATAAAACTTATGCTGTAAAATTCAGTGAGGAGAAATTTAACCCTAAAAGTGTGTGTAGGACAACTCTAGGGCAAATAGGAAGAGAGGTTTACAACATTAAAAGCATCAGAAAACTCCCAGCACAGTCAGGCTTTCCAAGGTTCTCTCCTGGCTCCAGAGACTGAGAATACTGCTTAGCAGAAGCCTGCCTGCGTGCGCTGTAGCCCACCACCTGCCCAACCACAACTCACTTTGCTCATGAGGGAAGCCCCACTAGACCTGCCACCAGCAGCTAAGATTATATCACCTTCATGCCAGCAGGGCTGGTGCGTGCTCTGCCAGAGGACAGCACAGTACAAACTGTCACCTTCCTGGTTCCTGTAGCCTCTAGGGACCTGAGGCACACAAGTGCCGCCTGCCCAGCACTTAACGCAAGCACCTTCAAAACTCTGAGTTCCTGCTTTGATATCTCATGTAATGTTTAGTCTAAGATTTTTATTTATGGAATGGAAACAGTAGTGAGAAATCTGAGGCTTCACAAGGAGTCTGGGCACCTGAGCTCAGCACAGACAGATTAAGATAATCAGACCACGGCACGCTTCTCACGGTGTTGTGTGAGTGCAGTCTGCCGAGCATCCTTGTGTGGAGACAAGGCTGCAAAAGAGGAACCAGCACACACCTTTTATAGTTTGAATCTTTCCAGTAGACCAGCAGTGGGGCTCAAGCAAAATTCTACATTGAAACATATCAGTTCATAGATTACCAAGTGGTAGAGTGTACAAGAAATATGAAACACTGAAAATGGTAAGAAAAATGGTGGAAAACAGGAAGGGCTACTTACTTTGCCCTCAAGAGGTCCTGGTCTTTTAGGGCTGAACCTTGAAGGTAGATAACTCGTTGGGACCACATTGGAATCTGTAGTACCCTTCGAACTTGCACATCCATTTCAGTAGGACACAAAATCACCACATAATAATCCTATTAAAACAAAATGAACAATGGGACAGAAATAGTAACACTTAAGTTATACTACATAGAATGCTGAAAAACTATGAAAATGTTGGAATATGATAAAACTGAAATAAAATTTTGTTAACAGTACAAATTTAAAACATGGCTGTATTAAATATACTATGATAAACACAATTCAGACATACAAAATCCTCATAAATCTGTAAATTCATTTTGATCTATGAAATCTGTAAAGTCATTCTGATCTATTTCAAGCATATAAGTACCATCAAGGAGAGGTGGTGAGTGACTGTAGTTGGCAGTTTCCTGGTTTATAAGGATTTTAGTTATAATTACTGATTGATGCTAAAACATACAATACCAGGCAGGGTGTTTAAGAATCAAATCAAAAATTCAATTTATTACTTTTAGTATTACTTTTAGTGATTTATATCATTTGACGATACCATAAATGAAGAATTTTGAACAATTTCTGATAAATATTTGACTGGGTAAGAATTTATAAAAACACTGTAAATGCTGAGTAAACTAAGTAAAAAAAAATTTGATTTCAAAATATATGGTACTTTTCAGAAAACACAAAAGTATGCTGAGTGACAAAACATTTTAAAATACATGATCTGTCTAAAGGAATTAAAATTCTTTGGTTGACATTCACTATTTTCTTACTCTAAAATATATCTACTGGATGATGATAAGGGTTGGAGAAAGGGGACCAAAACACAGCCAGACAGATACAGCAGGTTACAGTGTTCCATAACGCTGTAAGGTGACTACAGACCACAATATTATACACAGAACAAAGAACTGGAGGAGAGGACCTGGTAGGCTCCAGACCTGAAGGAAAAGTGGGGCGGTGGGGATGCCGATGGCCTGATTTTATCAGTTTATGCCATATGCATCTTTAGGAACGTTGTATATGAAGATGCACATGTATCATTACATTAATATAAAATTAGGGCTGTGCATTGGTGCAGAAGTTAACATTCCATGTGGAATGCCTGCATCTGGCTTTGAGTCTCAGCTCTGCTTCTAATTCAAGCTTCCTGCTAGTGCTGTACTCTCAGAGACAGCAGGTGGTGGCTATGTCCATGGGTCCCTGCCACCCACATAGGAGACGTGGACTGAATTCCATGCTCCTGACTTCAACCTGGTCCAGCTATGGTTATTGTGGGCATTGGGAGAATTAGGCAGCAGACCTGTTTCTGTCTGTGTCTCTCTGTCTTAAATAAATAAATAAATTGTGAAAATTAAAAAAGAATTCTTTACATTAGTAGTATACAAACTTAATCAGAGGGGCCAAACAGGTTTTCCTTATAGGTTATAATGAACAAATGAAATTATTCAATATGGATAATTTAAAAATCCAACAAATATGGAGTTTCTCCAAAAAACAGAAATCAATTTCTATGAAAATAATACATTATGTAATTAAAGTATTAGTTATATTCTAATTTTCTAAATACAAAAATCAATCTTAAAAGGTCTCCAAAACATTCACAAATCAATATTTTTATTTTTGGAAGACAGGAATAATTACACATACTCAGTACTCTCTTAACCTCTGGGAATAATCCATCTCTTTGACACAAGCTTATCTGGGAAATATCAAAGCATCAAATATTGATTTGTTCTATGGACCAGTCTAAGTCCATCTAGCAGGAAAAGATCACCCAAGTCTACATTGGTCTAGTACCTTGGCAAGTGGAAGAGCAGTCAAAGATTTTATCTGCTTACACAGATGAGGAGATTTTTCTGAATTCATGTTCTCACTACATCCAGTTATTGTCCAACCTTTGATTATTACTAACTGAGACTACAAATAGGACCTGGTTAAAATCCAGGAAACAAAGAAAAATGGACCTTCCAATCTCCCACATTTCAGTCAGCCATACTTGATAACTAACATCCTCTGGTATTCAAGTAAGCAGATGATATTGAAATGGTTTCTTCAACGTTTTATTTTAACTCATGTTGAAATTCACTGTTTCATAAAAATACCCTTTATACTTTATCCAAAGGAGAAAAAGCAATTCTTTAATTCAAAGAAAATCTTTCTTTGTAGCATTAACACAATCCATCTGTCCTTTAGTGCAGATACAGAAGGAAGCTTAAAATACTGTGTATTCCTCTAGCACTTTTTCCTCTGTCCCTGGTTATATCTGTAGCTCTTCATTTACTCTTTCTAAATGTGAGTATAAAAATAAGAAACCTCCAGAATGCAGGGAGTACCATCAGTTAATTGACTGCAACAATATGTTAGTAGGTATAACCCAGTTTGGTATATAACATCATTAAAATATACCTGTAGTCTTGGGTGGGCATAGAATTCATTTAAAAAGTCCATAAGTAAGTCAATCTTCAAGGAGCTGACGCACAGAACAACGTGCTTTTCAGTCTGAGCTCTATGTCGGCTATAGTTCCCACCTGACTTTTGTCTCTCCATCCACAAATAGGCCAGTTGTTCAAACTGTAATGAATTTTCCACATGAGAATCAACAACATCAGATATGAAAATGAAAAAGCAATGCATTATATCTATTTTTTTTCAAGTACACTCAGTCTCTTAGATGGAGTTCACTGAGACTCAAACTATCTGCATTCTCTTCAATGATAGCATTTCCCATGATTTCTGCAGGGGTTGAAGATGCCTCTCAGGAGTTTAAAGTCTTTACAGTAACATGATTTTTCTAGTATATTGAAACAGACTACTAAAATTTTGTGACTCTGCTTTATGTCCAGTAGAGTATGACACAATATGACATGCACTGAGTGAAAAAGACTCATGAACATTTTTCCATATTCTCTGCAAAATTCTGCCCATATTTCATGCATGGGAGATGCCTTTCTCACAATGCACAGAGCCATATTCCAACTGAACAGTAGTTGGTCCACAAGGGAAATGGAGAGAATAAAGGAGGGAAGGCAAGAAGGAAGACATGCATGATGGGATGAGAATGAGAATGTCATTTTTGTACCTACTCAAGCTATCTTGACAAAGGATGGCCAAAGTTGTGTAATGGAACATGCAAGTTTAATTCGCATCTGCCAAATCCTGTTTCTGACCTGCTTACCTATGGGGACTTAGGGCTCATCATAGGAAAGGAACAGAAATTGCATCTACTCATGCTTAGTTGCATGTTATATCTCTGTCCTTTTAAAACTTTTCTATTCACTCTCCACTTATATAATACTTATATACCATGTTCAAATTTTGTTTAGTTTACCAAGTTTAGTACTTGATTCATCAATTTTTATTCATTGCAATGTATAATTCTTACATTTATTTCCAAGAACTAAGACAAATCAATACCTCAAAAACTTATTTTCTTTATCTGTCATCCTCTAATGAAAAAACACAATATCCCACAACTAACATATTTATACCCTACATATAAAAGAAACATCATGAAGAATTTCAATGACATGTAAGCTATCAGTTCTCACTAGATGCAAAAATAAAAACAAACAAATGTTCTAATAAAACATATCTCTTAAGTAATTTAAATAATTGATTAACTATAATGTGGTAATATATAATATACTACAATTAGGTACATAAACCACTCTCCACTATTTTATTCAGGAAGATTCAACATCAAAGGACTTTGCACATTTCTGTAAAGTTAGCAGGATTATGTTTACCTGTATGGGGAGAACCACAAGAGCCACACAAATCATAGCAACGACAAAAAGCTTGGAAGACCATGTTTCAGGAGTGACATCACCAAAGCCCACAGTAGAAAATGTCACAATGCAGAAATAAAGAGAGTCAAAGAGATTCAGCTTCTTTCCAATTCGTTCCAAATGTTGGATTCCACAAATGCTAAAGAAAAAACTAAGTATTAAAATTAAAACTTTCTGACTGGATACAATGCTTCTCATAAATATTTTTTGATAATCAAACCACATTTCATAAAGCCATGTAACAGTGAGCTATTATATTTTATAATTTGTCTTCCCACCACAGGTACTGGTTAAGTTTTTTCCCTACATTAACAAGAAATGGTGTAATTTTGATTAATAGCTAGCCAAAAAAAATGGTAGCCAAAATATAACCGAGTGACATGTAAAGTGAAAGGACTGAATTTCTGAAATGACACATAGACACGGAAGGCATATGCAGGAAACAGAGACCAGAAATTGCTGAATCATATCCCTGTCAAAATGCAGAAAGAAGGGAGACATTTTCCTCTGTCAATATAAATAAAGCAAAAGGTTTAAGTCAGTAACTATCAGGAGCTATAGTTGGAATGATGTCCCCTCCTAGAAACTCAATTTGAAATTTAATTGCCACGGGAATGGTATTCCAAGGTGGGACCTTTAAGAGATATCAGGTCAGGAGAGATCTTTGCTCAGGAAGGCTCTAACAGGCCTGTAGGAGTGGATTTGTTACCATAGGAGTGGGTTTGCCCCTCCCACCATGTGCTCTCTCCCTCTGTCCTTCCTGCCACATGGAGAACAAAGAATAATAATGCCTTTGCCAGACAGTGGGACCTTGCTCTTCGACATCCCAGTCTCCAGAACTGTGAGCCAATTAATGTGTTCCTTGTCACTTATCCTGTCTCAGGCATTTTGTCACAGCAGCACAAAACAGACTAATACATCAAGTGGGAACAATTATCTTTACAAAGCTATTAATTATATGAAAGTAAGAAAGCAATATAGAAAATGTTACAAGATGTCCCTGAATTAGAACTGTTAAAATAGCATTAGAGATAGCACTGCTGTTTGCTGGAAGAATGAAAAAAGGCACAGTGAGTGTAGGAAACATAAACACATCGTAAATGTTGGTGAGAGAAAAGAGATTTGCAACAAAAACATCAGCATATCATTGCTATGGCTTAAATGTCTGTGCTCCATCCAAAATTCATGTTGTGACTTAAATCCCCAATAAAACAGTATTAAGTGCTAGGACATTTAGGAGGTGATTAATTTTGAATGGGATTAGCAACATGACAGAAGAGCTGGAGGGGAACAGGTAGGCCCCTTTTTTGCCCATCTGCCCTCTTGCCATGTGAGGATACAGCAAGAAGTCACCAACTTGGAAGGTCCTCCCCAGAAGTGAACCCATGGTTTCCCTATCTTAGATTTGTCAGTCTCCAGCACTGTGACGGATAAATCTCTGTCTAGTTTGGGTGCTTTGTCTTGCCAGCAATGGCAAACTAATGCAGAACTTGGCATTGAGACATGGAGTGCTGCTATGACAAACATTAGTGGAAGTGGCTTTGGGCAGTAAGTAGAGGCTGGAACAGTTGAGAAGAGACTGCCAGGAAATGCCTTGATCACTTGGAATGGAATGTTACAGCAGTCCTGGTGAGGACTCAGAACAGAGCAGCAGAGAGCCTGAGTCTTCTTAAAAATTACTTATGTAGTCATGATCAGAATGTTGGCAGAAATATGGATAGGAAAGGCCATTCTGATGAGTTATTAGGCAGAGATGAGGAATATTTTACTGGAAACAGGAGGAGGAAATGCCATCCTTGTTACAAAGAGGCAAAACTTGGCTGAATTATGCCTGTGTTCTAGTACCTTCTGGAAGGCAGGGTTTAAGGGTGATCAACTAGAATATCTGGCAGAAGAAATCCCTAAGCAAAATGTTCCAGGTACTGAATGGCATCTCTGGACTGCTTGTGGGAAAAGGAAAGATGCAGACTAAAGACAGAATTTACAACCAAAGCAAAAGAGAGACTAATAGTTTGGAAAATTTTGAGCCTGGTCAGATTTTGAAGAATAAAAATTTTGTTCAGGAGAAAACATCTAGGGTGTGATCAAGTGACTCTTTGATACGGAGATGAGTATGGACAGAAGAGAGCCAGATGCTGTTCATTAAAACAACAGAAGGATGACCCTTGAATGCATTTCAGAGAGGTTTGAGGCTGCCATCCATATCTCAGGTCCAGAGTGACAGGACCTAGACAACAGGGGAACCTGTGGGAATTCAGGTTTGCTTCTTGAGGCTTTCTCAGTTCTCTGATCCCTGCATTCTGGTACTGGACCCTCAGCCATCCAACGTGTGGCTCAAGAGGGCCCAAGTGCAGCTCAAGCAAGCAAAGGTGTAGCTTAGGTCACTGTTTCAGAGGACACAAGTGTAAACTAAGGTTTACCATAGTAGTGTGCATGTGGTACTGACCATAGGAGGGTACAAACTGTGAGGGCTTGGCTGTCTCCACCTGGATTTCAAAGTATGCCTTGCAGAGCAGGAAGAGAAGTGCTGCAGAGGTGAGGCTGCACACACAGTACCCACTATGTCGATGCATGGCAGAGCTGGGGAGTGGAGCCACTGTGGTGTGAAACCATACCTGAGACCCTGGAAGAGCAGAGATACCAGTACACAATGCCAGCCTAGGAGAGCTGGAGGCACCAGACTCCAACCCATGAAGCCTGCCATAGGAGTCGTGCACAGCAAAGCTATGCTGCATCTTCCCAGGGCCTTGGGCGCCAGCCCCTGCCCCATGCTCAGAAGTCAGGACATGGGATCGAAGAAGATCATTATCAAACCTATGGATTTAATGTTTTCACACTTTTGGTGATGAAACAAGACTACTGGGGCTATTGGGATGGAATGGAGTTTGTATATAAGGACATGAATTTGAGGAGGCAAGAGAGGAATGCTTTGGTTTGAAGGCTTGATTCCCCTCTAAAATTCATGGTGAAACTTAAATCCAAAATGCAATAGTATTAAGAGGTGGGACCTTTAGGAGACACTTAAGTCATGAGGACGCAGCTTCATGAACAGCAAGGACAATCTTATTAGAAGGTGAGAGAGCAGCAGGCATTTAGTCTAGCAGTTAAGATGCCTGCCTTGCCTGTCAGAGTACCTGAGCTCCACTCCTGGCTCTGGCTCCTGATTCCAGCTTCTTTATAATGCAGGCCCTGAAAGACAGCAGTGATGGCTAAAGTAGCTTTGAGTTTCTACCACCTGGGAGATCTGGATTGTGTTCCTGGCCCCTGACTTCAGCACTAGCCCAGTCCCAGCTGCTGTGGGTACTGGGGGAGTTAACTGGTAGATGGAAGCACTCTCTATCCTCCCCTCTCAAATTGAGGAATAAAAAGGCTGAAGAGAACTAGCCAGGCTTCCTTTTGTGCTTCTGCTGCCCATCATGCGAGGAACCGGGCAAGAAGCAGCCGCCTTGGAAGCAGAGAGGAGGTCCTCAGAGACACCCATCTGTGGTACCTTGATCTTGAACATCTCAGCCTTGAGAACAAAGAATGAAGTCTGGTTGCTTATAAATCAAGTGGTCTGCTAAAGTAGCAGAAATAGACTAATACAACAGGAGAGTACTGCTATTCAGCCAAATAAGAAGAAAGAAACTAAGTATAGATATATGTTACCACACAGATAAACAGCAAAAACATGCTGAGTGAAAGGAGCCAGACATAAAAGGCTCCCTACACGATTCTGTCTATGGGAAATATCCAGGAAAGACAGAAAACAGATCAGTGGCTGCCTAGCCCTGATGGTGGGAATGTGGTGATGGATGTGAACTAAAACTGCATCGGGGAGATGGCTGTGTATCTCCAGAATGTATTTAAAAATGACTGAATTTATACTTCAAATGAGTGAATTTTATGGTATGTAAATTGTGCTTCTCCTACTGTGAAGCTGTCAAAATCAGTTAATATTTCTGGATACTAACTGTAGCTTCTGTGCATAGCACTCAGGCAATCCAATCATGACAATCATGAAGAATTAAAGTGATATGCAATGTTATATTCTAGATATTCCTGTTCCAATCTGTAACGATAATTTCTCCCTTTGTAATTTATGATAAATTAAATATTTGTAATTTGATAAATTAAATATCATAAATATTCAGTTGTCTTAATTTTTTGGAAAGCCAAAGGATCAAGTGATGAACTGGCAAGATAGGACGGATGAAGGAACAGAAGAAACAAAGGCTGTCTGTCAGCATCTTTACTTCGCGAAGAAGTAGAAGCTACCTTTTGTTTCTTTTTTTACTCTGAGTCTCCAAAATGGGTGAGTTAGCCCTTATTTTTTGCTTTGGAATTTGTGAGCTGGAAGGTCATAAGCCCACAGAAACCAATGAGTTGATTTGTATAAATTTATTTGTTAGGCTGCCCTTATGTAATACTGTCAAGGTAACTATGAACCTACTCAAATGAAACTCATAGCAAGGTCTAATGACAATAGGTATTTCTGTGGAGGGAGGTTTATTTTAATAACATACACTTGTGAATATAAGCAATTTATGCACAATCTTTATATGTCACCAGAAAATAAAATGAGAAGAAATAAAGATAATTAAGTTATATATTCTTTTTTTAAATTTTTTGACAGGCAGAGTGGACAGTGAGAGAGAGAGAGAGAAAAGTCTTCCTTTGCCATTGATTCACCCTCCAATGGCTGCCGCGGCCGGCGCACCGCGCTGATCCGATGGCAGGAGCCAGGTGCTTCTCCTGGTCTCCCATGTGGGTGCAGGGCCCAAGCACTTGGGCCATCCTCCACTGCACTCCCTGGCCACAGCAGAGAGCTGGCCTAGAAGAGGGGCAACCGGGACAGAATCTAGCCCTGACCGGGACTAGAACCCGGTGTGCTGGCGCCGCAAGGCGGAGGATTAGCCTAGTGAGCCGTGGTGCCGGCCAAGTTATATATTCTTAAGGATTCAAATGTTACTTGAGAGCTTGCTGTATTTTGCTTGATTATACAATAAAGAAAGGCTGTAGATCAAAAGAGGAAATCCAAACAGCCAACAGACACATGAAAAAATGTTCAAGATCACTAGCCATCAGGGAAATGCATATCAAAACCACAATGAGGTTTCACCTCACCCCGGTTAGAATGGCTTACATACAGAAATCAAC